TCAGTCTTAGCTATGCAGACAGGAGAAAGGACTTGGCTCCTGGGAAATACAACTCACTGCTCTGGGTGAAGCTTGTGGAATTCCAGTGTTGTCTTCATCTTATCCCCACTGCAGGCTGGGAGTGCCCTGGGAGCAGTGAGCTGGGCTGGAGCCTTACACCAGTGAGTGTTTGGAACGAGGGAGTGTTTCCTTGGAGGTCTTTAGGGACGTGGTGGTTTGTTTTCTGTCACTGAAGAACGTCCTCCTCACCTTATCCCGAAAATCTTCAGAAACATAGTAGTAGATGAAGGGATCAGCACAGCTGTTGAAGGTGCTGATGGCCAAGCTCACCATGTAGCTGATGTACAGCTTGCCATGCAGCCTGGAGCAGAAACTGGAGTAGTGAACCAGCAGGAGAACATTGCTGGGTGTGTAGAAGGCCACGAGAGTGACCACCACGAGCACCGTGAGCTTCACAGAGTGGGAATATTTCTTCCCACTGGGCAGGAGCACGCGCAGCACGGAGCAGTAGCTGAACAGCATCAGCAGCAGCGGCAGGAGGAAGGCACAGACGATCAGGCACACGAAGTAGTAGAAGTAATACCCATCATCGTCGTGCCTGGGGAGCACATCGTGGCACAGCACGAGCTCTGCTCCCCACAGGGGGTGTGACTGCTGCTGCAGGCTCAGGGGCAGCGTCAGGAGGGTGGCACAGAGCCAGATGGCAGCGCAGGCACACGCGGCCAAGGTGGGAGTGCGGAAGGTACGGGAGAAGAAGGGATGAACCACGGCCAGGTACCTGTCCAGGCTGATGCAGGTGAGCAGCAGCACTGAGCAGTACATGTTGCCGTAGAAGAAAGCTGTGCTGAGGCGGCACAGCCCTTCCCCAAAGAGCCAGTGGTTGCCCAGGAAGTAGTAGATGATCTTGAAGGGCAGCACCAAAATGAGCAGCAGGTCTGCTGCTGCCAGGTTCATCAGGAAGACAGTGGAGGTGAGTTTCTCAGCCCTGGTGGCCAGGACCCACAGGGCCAGCCCGTTGGAGGGCAGCCCCAGCAGGAAGACCAGGCTGTAGAGGCAGGGGATGAGGCGCACGGTGATGGCACTGCCCAGCTGGGAGCGAGTGGCCTCGTGGACCAGCAGGTAAGTGATGTTGTCTACGGTTGCCTTTTCCCCAGGGATGGCTCGGGGACACAGGGTGATCTCTGGGGTCGTTGCCTGCTCGGTGGTGCTGTTCTGGGAGTAATCTGGGAGAGGAAGGTGGTGTTAGTCACCTCTGCAGAGCAGGCAGCTCACCCAAAGAGCTGCTGTGCCTGCTCTGCTGGGCTCCCTGGAAGTGGGGACACTCTGGAAATGCTGTTTGTCTGGCAGAATTAGGTGTGCAGGAGTTACCCTCAGCAACCTCCCTGAGAACATCCCCAGTTCCTTTGCCTCAGGGTTTCCCACAGCTCACAAACGTCTCTGATGTTGTCCAGCTATCAGCAGGCCTGGAAAGCCAGAGAGCAATTCCTCTGCCCAGTTTCCACAGGAATCCCAAGGTCTGGAGTCACTCCAGGGTAAAGTCATGGCTGTGGGAGTCGAACTTTTAGCTAAAGATTTGGCTTTCAGGTGCTCACTGTTTCACTGCTCCTCTACTTTCTAGTTTCTCCCACCCCAGCTTCTTTCTCTGCTCTTTCCCCTCTATCACCTCCTGCTTCAACCAGAGCCTGCAGGGAGCTCAATCCTAGAATCCTAGAATCAACCAGGTTGGAAGAGACCTCAAGGATCATTGAGTCCAACCCTATTGTGGTCACTAGACCATGGCACTAAGTGCCACATCCAGTCTCAGCTTGAAAACCTCCAGGGATGGTGAATCTACCACCTCCCTGGGCAGCACATCAGGGTGTGCTCTCATGAGAGCTCATTAAAGATGAGTTTCCAGGGATCCTATCAAGGTACCAAATCTCCAGCACTTTAACAAGCAGCAACTTTTCACCCAAAGCCACCCACTCACCGTCGTAGTCCGGAGAGCCCAGGCAGAGTGCCCAGAAGGCACAGCAGAGCAGGAGTCTGTGTGACAGCCACCAGCTCCCGAGGGTCTCCATCCCAGGGCAGGATCCAGGGCCACTCTGCTGTGCCAGAGCTGTGGGAACAGCAGCATCAGTGACTCTGCTTACGCATTTCCTTCTCTTGGTCCTTAACTCACGGAAGCAAGAGGCTTATCCCGGGAAGGATGAGGACTGTGGGGGCTGTGACAGCCTGTGCTGCCCAAGGACTGAGCTCCAGCATCAGATGTGAGACTGGGAGGGGAAGATGTGTCCAGACCCAACGTGTGTCAGGGCTGTGCTTTGTCGTCAGAGCTAGACCATGGCTCAAGTGACTCATTTGGATCTCCTTCTTGCTCCAGAATATCCCTGGAAATAACAAATGTGGTCAGCTTTGACGCAGTTTGGGTGTAAACTAAACCCATGCAGCTCTGCCCATGGGAATGTCAAATGTCCTTCCAGCACAGGGACCTGAGTGGCTCTGTGGGAGAGCTGAGGTCTTTTCCCACAGGCTGATTCACAGACTCTTACAAATGGGAAGTTATCATCCCAGACACCAGAGCTGCAGGTCAGACAGACCTCCCCAGCTCCCAGGGATCACTCAGGGCTCCTGCAGCCTCATGTTCTGGCAACTGAAGGTTTTTAGTGTCAGCCTTGCAGCCTCCAGGTCAGGCTGGGCCTCCTGAATCTATTCCTTCTGCCCCTGCTCCCTGGGGACAAAGCTCCTGCACCTTCTTGATTTTACTGCAGAGGATGATGACAAGTCCTCTGGGTTGGAGCTATTTGCACTTTAAAGAACCAGCCAAGCACCAAGGGTAAGTGGCAAAGTGAGGGGCACATTGTGTTTCCTCTGATAAACCACCCTGAGCAGGGAGAGCAGCTCCATCCCGCAGGAAAGGGGCCTGGGAAGGGCAGGCAGGAAGTCTCTGCTGGTGGGTAGATAATGGTGAGCTGCAGTCACTGCTGCCCCAGAGCAGCTGTGTGTTCCCAGAGCTGTGCAGTCCCATCCAGGAGGGCTGAGCACTCTGCTAACAGCTCGGAGCAGCACGTGCTGCTGCCATGGACCTGCTGCTTGTACTGAGAGGACAACTCAGACAGTGCTGCAGGAGGGACTGGCAGATGTTACCTGAGCCTCTAAGATCCTTTGCTGCTTGGTCCCCAATTCTCCAACCCTTTGAGCAAGTCCTTTCTGTGCTCTGCCCTGCACAACATCCCTGGGAAGCTCCTGAATCCTCTCCCACGGTCTGTTTGGGGTCCCAGCATGGCCTGTTGGCCATCAGGTGGGTAGGGCAGTGGGACAGTGTGCTGTGACTGGAGAGGTGCTGGAATTTAGGCTCTGCAGTCCCTGCCTGGCTCTGCAGGGGAATCAGGACAGGAGCTGGAGCCCAGGCAGTAGGAACTGTAAATTTGGTTTGGCAACCCGAGGAGCAGCTCGTTTCTTTCTCCTCAGCTTATGAATGGTCTCTTCTGTGAAGGTTGCAAATCTGAGCCTGGCTGCTGTGTGATGGGATTCTTCTATTCCAAGGAGAAAATGATCCTATTTCCTTTGCTTTCACCATATTCCCACATCCTTGTGCCGAGCGTGTCGAGAGGTGGAGTTCCACTGGCAGGGACAGGGAAGATGCAATGTTAGATGTTTTCCTTTTGTGATTCTCTCAGGATTTATGAACCATTACAGAATGACTCATGTGGCCACATATTTTCCATGCCTCAGCCAGGATCCTTTCCATGCTCTGTATGCAAAAAATTAGCCCTAATCAGGTTCAGATAGTGTGCAAATCACAGTGCTGCTTCCTATGGGCAGGTCTCTGGAGCAGAGCAGAGAGGGGTTACTCATGGCTGTAGCCTTCATTTTTCAGATGCTGTGTGATCTTTAGTGACTGCTTCAGATGCAGAACAGCTTGCTTGAAAATTCTCTTGCCAGAGGTTTGTCATGCCTTATTAACATCTCTTTAAGTCGTGTGATCCTTGCCCTGTGGGGCAACAATTTGGTTTGAAAGTAATTCATTGTGCAATAGATCATCCCCTGGGAGCAGGGGGCTCTTTTATTCCATGGCTCTGAACCCAAAAGATGTAATGCTGGAAAACAGGCTGGGGATTTTTCAGGCTCAGAGGGAGGGTATGAACACCACCTGGCCTGTCCCATACATCTGTAAGGTTTGGAAGAGCAAACCGTGGTAGGCAAATGATGGAGTTTGCTGCTGCTGCTCTGCTCCAGCAGCTCCAGAGAGTTCCTGAGTGTGGGGACAGAGCTCTCAGGGCAGCTGATAACTGCCCCAGGCTGAGCTTTGTGTATCACACCCCTGTGTCAGGTCTCTGCCATCACCCTGACACTCCCCACAGCTCCAGGGAAATCTCCCTGCCTCTCTCCGCTGCTCGTCCCACAGCTCTCCTGTTCCACTGGGATCCCACCCAATCTTTTCCCTTGGTTATTCCACACATCCTCCTCACCACGTGTCAGCCTTGGCTGCTCTAACACTTCTGAGACAGAGTTTTTTTCAGAACTCCTCTTCTGCTTGCTTGCAGTTTTCACTTCCCAGTGTAAAAGTCCACATGAAGCCATTTTCCAGGAATATTTCCAGGTTCTTAGCATCACTGCAACTCACTGGATGTTCTGGAATAGCTTTTCTCAGCAAGATAACGACACTGAGGTGGGGACTATGTTGCCTGGCACAGCCACCACCATCCCTTTTCAGCACCAGGTCTCCAATGAACCTCTTTGGATTCATCCTTTAGCACAGGTTTGGTTTGGAATTGCTAGACTTGAGTCTTTCAGTTGGATGGGTGGGAGGTTGAGCAACCTTAGGTTTGATTAAGGTTGAGTGAGTTAGTTCTAAGCCAGAGAAATGGTTAAGTTGGCAGGAAATGGCAACTCCTGTTTGCACATACAGTTCTAGCTCCTCTCACTGGGTCAACTTCTCTCCCTGTGACATGGAAACAGGTCTGAAAAAGTCCTGAAGTGTTAAATACTGAACTCAGGGAGTCCTTTTAGCAATCCTGAATTTAATGGAGAAAACCATTTATTCTTATTCCATCCTGCAAACCTGAAGGATATTTTGAAGCTGTTTGTGATGGCCAAAGCTCAGTGCTGATCCCCAACTGCTCTTGGGTGATGTCACAGCTGGTTGTCCCTCCCCTTGGGCAGCCTCGTTGGGAGAAGTCCAAGAAGACTTGAGTAAAGTGGATTATGTCTCCTGAGACACAACTACCATCATCTTAATCAAGTTATCCCGTGCAATTTATGCATCTGAGGATTGTTCTTTGGGGGAACAACAGTTTGTCTCCCTGTGAGCAAACAAGAGGCTGCACAGAGAGCAGAGCTGCTCTTTGTTATGGCAACGGAAGTGTTGGGGATGATGTAAAGGAAACTCCTATCAGCTCTGGGTCACATCACTACAGCTTCGTTTGCAGAACCTACTCATTCATTTGTTGTGCAGAGCTCACAGGGAACACACTGAAACATGTTATTACCCAGGAATTTGGGGAGGTTGAGGGGAAGGCAGGGGGAGGGTTCGGTGCATGGCTGCAGTTGTTATTGTTTTAACCTGTAGCAGATGTGTTTGTGGCCTCAGAACTGGGAGCAGTCACTGGTCCTCAGTGTCTGTGGTGCTCAGAGTGAGAGTTCCTGGGGCGGCCAGGCCTGGGCCACACCACACACCTCCCTGGCAAAGGGGCTGCTCAGAGGAACCCAACCTGCAAGGGCACACACTTCATGGGGTGACACAATCATGGGATGTCCTGAGCTGGAAGGGCCCACAAGGAACCTCAGTTCAACTCCTGTCCCTGCACAGACACCCCAACAATGCATCCTGAGAGCATTGGGCAAACACTCCTGGAGCTCTGTCAGCCTTGGGGCTGTGCCCACTGCTCTGGGGAGCTGTTCAGTGCCCAAACACCTCTGGGGGAAGAACCTTGGCCTGATCTCCAACCTTAACCTCCCCTGGCACAGCTTTTTGCCGTTTCAGTGTTTTCACTTCAAGCCTCTCTCTCTGTGGAGCAACTGTGCCACCCCACGGAGTCCCCACCCCCCTCCAGTCACAGGCCTTGGCTCCAGGAGAGCTTTTGGCAGAGATCCTGTGTGGGATCTCTACCTACTTGCAGGAAACATATTCCCCTTCTCCTTCAGCAAGTGCACTGCTCACCCCCTCACTGAGCAGCTGCTGCCCTGATGGAAACAACCTGCCACAAGCTGCATCAGCACCTCCTGCAGCCTCTCCTGCTTGAAAGAAGCTCCTCCAACTTTTCAACTGCATTTTCTACCATTTGAAGTCCAATTTCAGGCACAAGGCCATCAATTCTAAGGTTTCTCAGAAAGGTTAAATGAACTGAAAAGCAACTGAAACCAGGGCGAGCTGCCGACTTTTAAAATCAATATTTTATTTTACTTGAATGTGCAAATAAATATAAAAAAAACTACATTCAAGGAGCTGGCAAAGCAATTACAAGCCCAAAAGCAAAGATCCTTCAAAAAAATGGAAGAACAAACCCTTGACTCAAGGTCGTGCAGACACACAGCGTCGAGCTGAAACCCTCAGGCACGAACGAGCCCCTGTCAAACCTTCCTGCTGCTCCCTCCACAGCACTGAGAGCCAAGAGCACTGTACAGGGCCAAAGTCTTGCTTAATCTGTTCAGATTATAAATTAAGGTTTACAAAATAAGGATGCTTCAAAATACCTGAAGTACACTTACAATGGGTTGATGGGACAGGATGGTGCCCAGAGGATGTTCCCACCTTGGTACACCTGGAGTCAAATGCAGTTTAAGCCACAAGTTGCAACCTATTTTCTAGTAAACAGTTTTTCTGTTATCATAAAACCATAAAATTTGGCACAGTTGTTCATCTCCACTGGCAGCCAGCAGAGAGGTGAGCAGGACTGAGGTGTGTTTTGGTCTGGAGGCAAAGAGGGGAACTCTGTGCTTTGCACTGGGATTGTTCCCCTGCTCTCCCCCAGCCCTCACAGAGCCACAGAGTTGGTGTTTCTCATCATTTACTGCAACAAGAGCAGAGGAAGAACCTTCAGATCATTTCAGTAACCAAAATCTTTCAGTAACCAAAATTTAGCAGAGACCTAGACAAGAAGAACAAGAGTTCTTGATGAAAAGTCTCTGCTGGCAGTGGTTGTGCAAGTGGCCATGAATACCAGAGTGGCCTCTCTCCTTCCCTCCCACAGATTATTTTGCAAAAAAAAAAAAAAAAAAAGACAAAGAATCAGGACAGTTTTCTATTAAACATACCCCAAAGGCCAATTTTTCTACTGTCAAATGAGACAATTGTGAAACTGAATGTTGTACAGTGGAAATAACCCAGGACAGATCCTACAGGCTGCTCCTTAGGTCTGGCAGAAATTAGAACCAAAAAATCAAAGCCACCAAAAGTATCAGGGTGGGGGGTTACAGCCCCAAAAGGCAGGAAGGAGTTGGAAGCAAAGCTGAAAGGAGGTTGGGGATGCCTCAAGACATTGTTTGTGGACACTGTGCTTGCCCTGGGCCCCTGAGAACCAGGAGAGAAGTCCCAGTGGGGCTGCAGGACAGGCACAACTACATTGCCTTGATTTTTCACTAGATGAAGTCAGACATAGTGTTCTCAGGGAAGGTTTGTTAGGTTTCATGGCAAAAAAAAAAAAAGCTCTGAGAGCAGTCCAGATGGTTCAGTGGAAAAGCTCGTGTACGATGGCCGTGGCTGAATCTCACACTGCCATTAGAGAGTTCCGTGTGTCCCTGCAAATCCAGCGGCTGTGCTGAGCCAGCAGGAACGGGAGAGTCCGTGGGACAGAGCTCAGCTCCCAGCTCGGTGCTGCGGGAGCTCCATCTGCCGATGTGAGAGACACAGGACAGCCCTGGAGCTCAGCCCCTTGGAACGCCGAGCCCAGAGCTGCCCAGCAACATGCAAAATACGCCCCAGAAACCAGACCTCGCAAGGGATATTCCTCCACACACACCCGACGGAAACAGGAAACTGCAGCAGGTCCTCAGTTCCCACAGCAACCCCGTGGGGTCCAGGCAGGGCTGACCAGGGTGGGACTTGTGAATCTCCTCTGCTCAGCACTGCAGCTCAGAGAGTTTCATCCCCTTAGTTCACGCTCCACGAGACTTGGTTGACAGTCAGAGCATTCAGTGCACTGCTCACCCTTGTCTCAGTTTTGGCATGTTCTCACCAGAGCACCAGTAACAGGAACTGTTCAGGTATTGGAGCTGCTCAGCATGGGGCTGCAGAGCTGTGCCAGGTGCTCTCAGCCCCATTGGCACTCCCAGCTTACACCAAAGAGTCCTGCAGGCTCCAAGATGGCATAAATTCAGGAAGATAGGGAATATGAGGCCCTTCCACGTGTCAGTAGCTGCTCGAACACCAGCCCAGCTCCTTCTCTCCAACAAAGCCACCAGTGGAAGTTCACCCCCTCACTGAGCCTTCCAGGACTGGCTGGTCAGCAGTGGCCTAAAGCCAGGAAACTACTAAAGTGTGGCAATGCCAAAAGCTCCCTTCCCATAAAGCTTTGAAAAGTCTCTTCACGATGGCTGGAGGATTACACTGCAAGGAGACAAGTCTATGCCATATGGAAAATACATCATAATCCAAAGTAAAATGCTGTTTGGATAAATATCATTAATACATACATTGCATTCCCACCACTATTCTCAGAGTAAATGTGCTTCACCAGCAACGCCAGGACTTGTCTTGGGCACGTCCCTGCTCAGGGCGAGGCAGGACGGCGGCTGTACTGCACCCTGTATCTGTTCACTGGCACCCCGTGGACATTCACTGTCTCACAGGTGGTTTTACAGGGCACCATCTCCTCGTCCTCATCTCCCATCAGCCAGTCTTGAACCACGTCCACAGCCTCCATGGACACGTTCTCCTCCAGCCACCGATTGTGCCACTCTTCGAACTGCTGGTGGTGCTTCAGCAGCACCATGGGCTGCACCTGGAAGCAGGACAGGAAAGGGTCACTGGGAGGTTTCTGGGGGAGAAGCTGAACCCCTCAGCTCTCTCCAGAGGGCTGAGATGTGCTTGGAACACAACACAAGCAGTGAGACAGGAAACCCATACCTGTGTGCAACGATCCCTATTTCTTAATATTTGCCTCTCCCCGCTAAAATGCACAGCAAAGCAAAAGCTGCTAAGCTAAACCAAATTACAGAGCATTTACCAGCTCTTCTCCATGTTTCATCCAACACAGAGCAGTAACTTCTGGGTGTAGTTTGCAGGAACTCAGCCACAAGACTTCTTAGGGTACCTGTCACATCCTCAACCTCTGCTACTGCCCGAGCTGCAGAGAGAGTAAAAGGAGATGCACCTGCTTGGCTCGGCAGAGAGCTCCTCTCCTGTACATGTAATCCTCTGAGTTCATGATGAACATCATTTTGTGGGTGTTGAGCTTGAAGCGACAGTCCACGTTGCAGGCACTTTCCACCCCGATCAGCCTCTTCCAGGAGCTCTTCACCTCGCTGCGCAGAGCTCTCACCTGCTTGCACTGCCACTTGCGAAACTTCTTCAGGTTTCTGCAACAAAACAGGGATGACAAAGCATGTGTCACTCCTGGTTATCTGCCCTCAGCTGGCAGAGCTCACAGCTCACACAGGAAATTGCTACTTCCACGCGGAGTTTTTCAGACTTTCTTCAGGATCTTCCTTCATACCCTGACAGATATTGGTGACATGGGAACAAAGTAGACCTCAAATCCCTCCCAGGAGAACAGCTGAGGCAGCCTCACTCCATTCTACACAGTTTCATCAACAAACCTCCATGCAGTAAGTCCTAAACTTCTCCCTCAGCACCCTGGCCTGCAGCAGCCCCTCTGGACCCCAAAGGTGAGTGCTTTTCCCTGGGGTTGCTGTCTGGCACATCCCAAAACCACAGCCACACACCCCTCCAGAGGAAGCAGCAGCAGCTGCTGCAGG